ATTTATTGGATAAGAATAATTCTTATTAAAATGAAAAATTACGTAATAATAAAATAATCATTTTTACATTTTGAATAATTTCAATTTTTTAATCAATGATTAAATTTTACTTAGATGATTATAATTGTGTGTTATTTTCCTTTGAGGGATTTCCTTTGATTTTAAAAGATAAGGTGCATTTATTGTTAATTGTACGAATAATATTTACCTTGAATTATATTTATTAAAAAGGTAACCTTAAATTAATTACGAAAGAACAGGTTAAGTTAAATTTTTTTTTTTTTTTTCTTTCAAACGTAATTAATTTAACAAATTTTTTACGATGAATTTAATAATTTCCATTTGATAAATAAAATAAATTTAAATTTCACCTGATTTTTTAAAAAAAATAAATAAATAAATAAATTTCGTGCGAATTTATTATATATTTAAGTAATTTTAGCTTGGGGGAATAACGTTTTTCAAAATTTTTTTTATTGTTTCACGATTAAAAATTACAAAAGAAAAAAATTTTTCGTTTGTTTGTTTATGTATAGTTATTAAATATTGCAGGTTTATTGAATAATCACATGATATCAAACTCGATGTCTCATTAACTTATTTATTTTTTTAAACGATTAAAAAAATTATTTAAATTTATTATTTATCGATAGTATTAATATATAGAAATAAAAAAAAAAAAATAGAAAAATGGCGAATAAAGTAGTTTTTCATTAAACTTGAACCGTAACATTGGATTTAGGATAATTATACATTTGAAAAAAAATTATTTTTTTCTTTACAGTATAATTTTATAAATTTTTTGATGTAAAATGAGTTTTGTATCATTTATCATACAAACACACACACACACACACACGTTTGAAATATTATTTATTTACTCGCTGACTTTGAACTTCTAAATTATTTCAAGGGAAATCATAAAAATCTAAATAAATCGCTGAGGAAATCTTTTAATGTCGTTCAAGGGTAGATTAGTGTAAAAAACGTTTTGCAAAAAAAAAATAAAATTAATTAATGTACGTGTAAATACAACTTGTCGCATTTTCTAATAATTTCATTAATTTTTCTTGTTTTTTTTTTTTTTTAACCGTAGCACCAAAACTGATTGCGAAAATTTTTTCTTAAACATTTTATGATTTTCCAATGATGATTTAATGTCGGTTTTTATAGTTTCAATGCCCGTTTTCGTGTTTACAAAAAAAAAAAATATTACAAAATATTTTAAAATTATTAATAACGTTACATTTTTTTTAAAATAATTAATTAATTAATTTTTTATTTCGTTCTAATAATAATTTATCTTAAAATCAAAAAACACGTTTAAAACAAAAAAACATAAAAACATTTCAATTTTGTATCATAGGTAGAACGAAATAATTTTAATTTATTATTTTTATACCCAAATTTATATTTTGACGGTTAAAAAAAAAATTTTTTTTTTACACGAATTATCGGTAAATTAAATTAAAGAATAATTACAAAATTATTTTTTACTTGTTTGTTTGTTTTTGTTATGCGGCAAAAAGCACAACAACAACAACAACTCCGTGTCATTAAATATGGATTAAATATCATGTAAATATATTTCATAATCAACAAACGGGGTATGTTATCAACAAAATGCTCATGACTTAATTTATTTAATTTAATTTTTTTTTTTATTAAAAATATTACAAAAACGTTTTTTTTTTTGTGTTATCGATTTTATCAAAACAACATTCTCTTTATTTCATTAATAATAATTTTTTTTTTTAAATTTGGGTAAATAAATAATAAATTTTCCTCAAATAACGCTTCAAATTTTTTTTTGTTGTATTTGATTGAAAAATATATAAAAATGAGGTCAATTTTTTTTTTTTGAAAACAAACTGTGCGAAATAAAATTTTTTTTTTATATTTCAAAATTTTTTTTTTGCAAAATATGAAAACGAACGAAGAAAAATATTTGATTAAATTTTAACATTTAACCGGAAATAACAATTTTTTTATTATTTATTTATAGATTCTCGTTTTATTTTTGGTAACCTTTGTTAACGCTGGACCAAGAATCGGAGAATTTGGTAATGAAAACTTGGTAAGTTAAAAACAAAAAGTAAAAAATTCGTTTCTTTTTGCAAACGATCAAATTTGAAAAAATTTTACATTAAAAAAAAAAAAAAAAGCGATAGATTGAATAATAAAGTCGTTCCTCTTAATGCGTGAGACCTTGTAAATGATTGCTAGTCAAAATGCAATTAAGGGCCAAAGTTCTCTTTCTTTCTTTGTAAACTTTTACTCAGGTTCTTTACAGGTTTTCTTTTCTTTTTTTTTTTTTTTTTTTTTTTTACGAAATAAATAAACACCCCCGCATTTGGTTTAATGATTTCAAAAATTATCGTTTTTATAGATATTTTTTTATCAATAAGCGTAAAATAATTGTTTGAATTTCATAAAAAATTTAAAATTAAATTTTAGATAGAATATGAATATAGGTATGCGGTCGATGAATCGAAAACAAAAGGACCCGTCATGGATCGTTGGGAACAAAGAATCGGAGAATATGTAAAAGGAGCTTATAGCGTTGTCGATCCTGATGGAAAAGTAAGAACTGTCGATTATGAAGTTGATGGAGAAAAAGGTTATCACGCTGTCGTAAGAATGAATGAAGCAGGTACGTAATTGTACAGTTAAAAAAAAAATTTTTTTTTAAAGAATAATTTTTGGAAAAAAGGAAAATTAAAAAAATTTTTTTTTTTTAGCTACGGATTTGTTGAGTATTCAACAACTTAAACAATCTTTTGAATTATACCCTCAACCATCAGCCCCACCAGAGACACCATCAAGAGAACTTTCTCCACCAGATGAAAACACCGGAAAAGCATGGAATTTTCACTCCGAATCTCGTGTTACCGCTAATAATAATAATAATAACAACCAATTGGGTACGTTACTTTTATGTGAAACTATAATATTACGGTTTTTTAAATAATTAGAATAAAATTTGATGTTGAAATTTTTGATTTGTTTACAAGTATCGAATTATTTAAAAAATATTTTTAGAGTTCTTATTTTTTTAAAATTTAAATTAACGACATCTGCGATTTTTTTTAGGTCGTCAAAGATCTGAAGGTAGATTACCGGAAAATAATTTGGTTCAAACAGTGCCACTTCCTCGAAGGCCTTTGGAAAACTTACCATTGAGTCCGGCGAACTTTAATGTTCCTCAATCCACAAATGTGATTTATTATAAAACTCCAGCAGGATCAATTTATAAACCTGATTTTCAACCGGTAGAAACTGAACATATACTTTTCAGAAATGTTAAAAGGGAAGCTGTTGGTCCAGTAGTTTCTCCGACTAAAAACTAATTAAAATATAAAGTTTAGTAAAATGATTAAAAATCATTTTTTGAATTTTTTTTTTTTTTTTTGTGAAATTAATTATTTAAAAAATTTTTTTTTTTTGTTTATATCTCTTGAAAATTAAAAATCGACGTATAATAAATATCATTTATCAATGTAAATAAAAGTGGAAAGAAACAAACAAAAAAAAAATAGAAAAAAAAAAAAAAATTAAAAATTCATGACATTTTTTTTTATTTTGTTGTAATAAAAGTATATAATAAGTTTTTGTATATTTTTTTTTTTTTTTTTTTAAACTTCGTATCGTGTTATTATATTTTCTCTAATCAAAAATTTTTTATTTATAATATTAATAAATGTTTTTTAAATTTTATCATTAAAATTATTTTCCTTACATTTCATATTTCAAAAAAAAAATATTAAAGTGAAAGAAATTTTATTCAATAATAACATTCGACATTTTCAAAAAAAAACTTGAAATTATTATTTTTTATAAATAATGGCAACGCCTAAAACAAAAAAATAAGAAACGCCTTTTTACAAGTATATATTATTTTCAATTGATTTTAAATAGTTAATTAGTACAAAATCATGGAAAAAAAAAAATTATTCTAATCGTTGAAATAAAATAAATTTAAAATTTTTTATGTTAATTACATCAGTTAAATACAAAAGAATTTATAAATCATTTATTCAAAACAATAATACTCTATAATACTTTCTTTCATTAATGATAAAAAAAAAAATTTTATTTAATAAAAGGTGTGGTGTTTATAAATTTATTATTTTTATAAAAGCGAATGGAAAATTTAAATACTTAAATAAATTTATTAAAAGTTTGAATTAGAGTTTTCCTGATATTTAGTAAATGAAAATTTTAGAAAACATAAAATATTAAAAAAGTACTTTTCATTAGATGTTTGCTTACTTTTTAATATGATAGAAAATTAAAAATAAATTTAAAAAAACAAAATTTACACTTACTTATAATTAAATTATAAATATTTTAATGATCAATAATGATAAGTTCATCAATTCCCCAATCTTCATATGAATGATCGGGTAAATATCGTCTAATTATTATTGGAATTTTTCTTTGTTTTAATTCTTTCATTGCAATTTGAAGAGGATCAGTTTCACCTTCTAATTCAACCATAACTGGTGCACCCATAGCAATTTGTAATGCCCTTGTACCTAAGGTTACAATTAAAACATTATAATATTGGTTATCGCATCATTATATTTACTTTTAAAAAGGTCTCTCACCTAAAACTCTGGCACGCTCATATTTGGTCATATATTTAGTAGTAATTCTCTTTGATTTGGCAACAGAACCCTTTGCTTCAATGCTAATACTACCAGGATCAAGAGCATCAGCATCATCCTAAAAAAAAAAAAAAATTTTTTTAAACCTGAAAAATTTAAATACTAGTTTAATAAAAAAAGTAAATTTTACCTCTGGTTGATCTAAATCTTCCGCATTGTCATCATCATCAGCGTCATCAAAATCTTCTCCAACACTATAAAAATTAAAGTAAATGTTACGTTAATTAATTAAAATCATGTAAAATTTAACAAAATCATATAAAAAAGTCAAACAATTAAAAAAGTCAAAAGTTTTAAACAGAATAACATTTTAAATCATTTATTTAAAAAAAAAAAAAAGAACTTTTTTTTTTTAAATCAAACTTTAAGCTTAATCTTTTTAATCAAAAACCAAAAAATACTTTAAACAAATGAGTTAAAACAAGCGAGATAAACGAACAATGGTTGTTAAAGTTAGGTTAAGTTTTCATGAAAATTATACATATTTGAAATTTTTCAAGTTTTACTTTCATTAAACATATAATTAAAAATAATAATAATAAAATCTTTAGCTTTAATGTTATCAAAAATAAATAAATAAAATACTAACTCATCAGTATCGTATTTATCGTCAGACATGATTACTCAATTCCTATTTTTTAATTACGATATACACTATTGCAGTTATGAATAGCAAAAAAAAAAAATGGCGGAAGGAGGGAAATTCAAAGTGAAAAAAATAATGATTTATCTTATGAAAATAATAGTAACAAAATAATAAAAAGTAACACTGGAACAAATTTAATTGTGTATTATTTTTATTTTTTGGAAAAACTTTTAAGATAAAAAAAAAATTCATTTGGAAAGCTTTTTTTAAAAAGATATGGGCAGATGGAGTAATAAAAAAACTAATTTCACAGTAGAAAATAAATATATATATTAAATGAATATAAAACTTTTTAACTAAAAATTAAATTATTTTTAAAATAAAAATGCTTTAAAAATAAAAATTGCATTTTTCGTTTTAAATTTTCAAGCAACTTAAAATTATTGATGATGTTTTTTTCAACCGATAAACAATTTATTTTGTTGATGTTTTTAAGTGCACTTTAATATCGTAACATATTCATATCACAAAATTTATGAAGAAAACTTGGCACTGTTTTCTGTTAATTAATTAATTATAAATCACTGATTATATAAATTATGTAAAATTCTTTCTTTTTTTTTTTTTTTTAAATTTAATTTTCTAAAATATTGATTTTCTAAGCGTTCATTTTACAGTGTTTTATAATTTACAATTAATCGGTACCAAAGTATTTTTGTCCAAAATGATTTGGAGCCAATGGATAAATTTCAGAAGTTAAAATAGTCATATCTGGAAATTCTGATGTGAGAGATTTTGCAGCAGTGGGTGTGCAAAATAAATTCGATAATATGATGTTTTCTTCAGAAACATTATGCTCTTTTAATACTGCAACAGCTTTAGAAACTGTATTACCTGTTCCTAAATATTAAAATAAATATATATTTCATTATTTTAATCATTTTAAAGTAAAAATGATGACTATTTAAAATTTTTTTACCCATTATTGGATACATAAGGAGAACTTTTCTGTCGGCAATATCATCTGGGAATCTAGCATAAACAACTTTTGCTTCATGAGTATCACTATCACTTTCAATTAATATTTTTCCTATCCTGATTGATCTGCAGCAATCCCTTAAACCTTGTTCCATAGCTTCACCACTTCTAATAATAGAAACCTATTATATGAAAAACAACAAGAGAAAATACAAACAAAATAAATGGCAAAATTTAAAATTATAAAAAGTTAATTTTAATTATTATTCAATAATTACCCCACAATTGCCTTTTTTATATTTTAAACCTTGGTAAGTAGCTCCAGTAGGTGTTACTACTTCACATTTTGAAAAAGGTAACTGATTTAAACTTTCTTCTATAACTAGCCTGATTAATCTATCTGCATAAAATTTAAAATCGCTTCTTGTTGTGTTCCTAAATTAAAATGTAAAAAATTAAAAGGTTACACTAAATTTAAGAAATTAAGAAGTCTTATAATTATAATAAATATCTTTCCTAAAACTTAATGTTTTAAATAATAAAAAAGTTCATAAAGAATATATTAAAGAATGATTTTAATATTTAATTTATTTAAAGTAAAAATTAAAAAAATAAATTACACTCTTGTACGTCAATTTAATTAATTAAAGTACAGTATTTAAGTAGACCCCAAAAAGTTTTTTTTTACCTATCCCTAATAATAGTCTGAAGTTCTCTTATTTGATCATTGGGAGGTAAAATTTTAAGGTTAGAACCGTATTCTGATACAACATCGTTAGATCCATTATCTAATGTTATTTCACTCGATCCGTTACAATTTGAAAAATCTACCAGCATGCTTATATTTTATGTGCAATGTCACTATGTATGTTAATATTTTTTGTGATGAAAAACATGCAGATAATTTAATTGGTTGGAAAAAAACCATAGAGAAAATAACATTTGTATTTACTCTCTATGTCTGATATATCTACGTAATTTCCTCCTACATCTCTCAATCTTAAAAATGGAGTCCAAAGTTGACGAGGTGACTAACTCACTTATATTTGAGCATTTAAATAAATTTGACAAAGATTTAGCTAATATCTTCAAAAAATTAAAAAAATTTGTAAGTTTTTCATTTGTTTTTTAATTATTTAATTTAAAATTCTACATATTTTTTAAAATTTGTTACTAATTATTAATTTGTTTGAAAGTATCAATCGCCACATGTGTGGGGTTGTTCACAACAAATGGGATAGAAATATGAAATTTTTTTTTAAATTATGAAAAACACAATATTTGATTTAATACTTATTAGTTTTGCTCGAATTCATTAATTTTTTTACTAATTCCATTTAATTATTTTATCTCTTATTTGAATATTAAAATAAGAACCGGCATTACAACTCTTTTCCAAATGCTTTTGGCGGCTTTATTTTAATTCATTAATCGATTTTTTTTTTAAATGCAATATTACTATTTTTCTATTTATTATAGAATCTTTTTTTTAGAAACTTAATACGTAGTTTTAAATACCTAGAACTTCATATGTTATTTCAGTAATATGCTCATGAATCTTATTCAGTTGGTGGCATGTCCCCTCTAAGATTGTTTATAGTTTGGTTAATTTTTTCATATGACTGTTTTCTCTTGGGGGTAAAAATTTTTAATTTTTTTCATAGATTTTTTTATATCTTTCCCCAGTTTCCATAATTTGCCTAAGTTTTAATTCTTTCACTTTATTGATTTCAATAAATTTATTGGTTTTTGTTTGTCCATTATTTTTACTTTTTTTTTCGTGTTTGAATAAATAGTTTATTGTAATTTCCAAATTCTTTAAATTAAGTTAAACTAATTTGTTTTTATTAAAAAAAATATCTAATTTTTCAGATGATTAAACATAATTAGACTCTGAGAATTAAAAATATTAAATTTACAAAATTGCTTATAATTAACAATGTTTTTATTTCTTTTTTTTTTAGAATGGGCTTCAAAAGAATTCTCCTACAATCACTGATGTAGTTGCACATTATCTAAAGTATGTTTTCTTTTTTATAATTTAAATTTAAATTTACAAATTATTTTATTTGTAATTATTAAGGTTATTTTACTATAAAATTTTAGGTCCCATGGTAAATTTATTAAACTTTGTTCTCAACAAAGTTCTTCTTCAGATAGTTCAGATTCAGATGATGAAAGTTCAAAAAAAAAAACAGTAGTTCCTTCAAAGCAAAAAGATAAAAAATCAGAAAAAAATATAGGTATGTGTAATATTTTTAATATTAAATTTAAATGGTAATTAAAAATTGTAAAAATTTATAAGTTTCAGTTGTTTAAAAAAAAAAAAAAAATTTTAATTTATAATTATTATGCAATTATTTAAAATTGTATTTAGGAAAACCGCAAACTCCATCAAAACAGAAATCGTCTTCTAGTGAGGAAGATTCATCTGATGAAGAACCATCAGCTCAAAAAAAAACAGTTTCAGATTCAAAAGTTAAAGCAAAGCCTGTAGCAGCTGCCAAGCCAGCTAAAGCAGCACCTAAAGCTAAAAACGAGTCTTCTTCAGAGGATTCAAGTAGTGAAGATAGTGATGAAGCAAAAACTCAAAAAAGTACTCCAAATCCAGTAGATAAGAAAAAAATTCCTTCAAAACCTACTCCAGGTTACTTTTTTTTTTTTTTTTTTTTTTAAATCTTAAAATTTTTATTATTTTATTTGTATTAATTTTTAATATTACTTTTACTTTTATCAGTTAAAGGCAAAAAAGAATCAGATTCTGACTCTGACTCCGATTCAGACAGTTCAGATGAAAATGAAGCTTCTAAAAAAGCAGTACCTAAAAAGGAAGAAAAGAAAAATACACAAGTTACGACTACAAAAAATAAAAATGCACAGCAGTCTCAAAACACAAAAAAACCACAAAAAAAAGAGGAATCTTCATCGGATAGTTCGAGCGATGATGAAGAAGAGGAAAAACCAGTTTCTAAACCTGTCCCTGCACCTAAAAAAGAAAGTACATCAGATTCTTCAGATTCAGACTCGGATGAGCAACCAACTGTAAAAGCGGCACCCAAAAAACCAAATCAACCACCGCCTAAACCTGCTAAAAAAGATTCAAGCTCATCAAGCGATTCAGATTCGGATGAACCTCAAGTTCCTTCTAAAACCCCTGTAAAAACCTCTGCAGCTAAAAATAAAAAAGACAGTTCAAGTGACGACTCAAGTGAAGATGATGAGAAAGACAAACCGCAAGAAAAAGTTGTTAAAAATGAAACGCAAGCCAAGTCAAAAAAACAAGAATCAAGTGATTCAGATGATTCTAGTGATGAAGAAACAGAAAAACAACCTCAGCAAACGGTAGCAAAAAATTCAAAACCAGCAAAGGGAAAAAAAGAAGAATCTAGTGATTCAAGTGAATCTGACGATAGTGATGATGATGATGATGATGATAAAACTAATGTAAAAACTCAAGTACAGAATAAAGTTAACTCTAAATCTCAAAAGAAAAAGGAGGAATCTAGTTCTGATGATTCAAGCTCTGAAGATGATGGTAATAAGGAAGAAGCTAAAAAAAGAAAAACAGTTAGCAAAGGTATTTTTTTTTTCTCTCTCTCTCTCTCAATATTAACAAAATATTTTAAAAATTTACTTGAATGATGATTATAACTTTTAGAAACGCCTGTAAACAATAAAAAAGCAAAAATTGAAGAGAAAAAATCAAGTAGCAGTGAAGATAGTTCCGATAGTGAAGAAAATAAAACAGAAACTACTAAACCTTTAAAAGGTAATTTATTTATATTGTACGACCCAAACTTCTTCATTTATTGTTAATTTTATAATTATTAATGATCATTTGTTGTTTTTCAGGTAAAAAAAGGAAATTAAATAGTAGCGTCGACGAAACGCCTAGTAAAAAAGTAGCTAATGGAACAGTAAGTTCATTTATTCTATTGGTAAAAAAAAAAAAAATTAACATTAATTAAAATACTTTTAAAAATTTATATTCGATACCCATTTATTAATATTCGTGTATTGCATATATGTAATGTAGGTAAATAATGTAGAAGATGAAGTTAGTTATAGTCAGCCTACCAAAAAACACAAACCCGAGCCCTTTAGACGCGTTCAATCCGAACAAGTTTTTATTGATCCAAGATTGAAAGACAACTCTTTCGAAGCTAAGGTAAAAAGGCTCTATTTTTAAATGCTACGGTGACATTAATTAAGCGCATGAAAGTGTGAATAAGTTTCAGTCGTTAAAAAAAAAATTTTTTTTTTTAAAGTTTATTATATTGTTTATTATTAATTGTCGTGATATTATTATTATTCAATTTGATTTTTAAAAAAAATGTCACTGAAGCAACGAGAGCACGAGACCTTTGCTTCGACAAGAATTTCTTACGCGTCTCTCACACTTTCATGTACTTAATAAATGATCGCATTTTTTTTTTTTTTTTTTATTATTTTGTACAGGATAACGAAGAAAAATCGGAAGAAGTTACCGCGGGTGGTAAAAACGAAAATTGGGAAAAGCCCAAATTCGGATTAGGCTACAATAAGAATAATGATCGAAATAGTACCGATAAGGGTTTTAATCGTGATGATAATAAGGGTAATTTCGGTCGTAAAAGTGGCAGTTTTAATCGCGATAGCGGTCGTGGTGGATTTGGAGGAAGGGATAGGAGAGGAGGAGGAGGATTTAATAGAGAAGGTGGTAGGGGAGGATTTAACAGAGATGGCGGTAGAGGAGGATTTAACAGAGACGGGGGAGATGAAAAAAAAGGAGGTTTTAATAGGGATGGAGGAGGCGGAAGAGGAGGTGGACGAGGTGGTTTTAACAGGGATGGGGGTGGAAGAGGAGGTGGACGAGGCGGTTTTAGAGGGGGTAGGGATAACTTTAGAAATAGTTTTGGAGGTAGAGACAGAAAAGATAACGCGGGCGGTGGTTTTAAAGAAAGGAAGTCTTTCGGGGATGCTCCTCCGGCAAATAAGAAAATAGTTTTTGACGATTAGTTGTAAGTATAGAAAAACTACTAAATAAAAAAAAAAAAAAAATTGTAATGGCTACATTATTTTTAAAATTTTTATGATTTTCTTCTTGACAAAAAAAAAAAAAAAAAAATTAATTTTTTTGTTTTAGAAAAATGCTAGAGGATCATGGGGAGAAAAAGCAAATTATGATTTCAAACATACCAGAGGTCGTGCATTCAGGCATGAAAAAACAAAGAAAAAGAGAGGATCATATAGAGGAGGACATATAGATATGTCCGTTAATTCTATTAAATTTGAAGACTAACAATAAAACAAATAAATATTGTTTAAAATTTTTTTTTATTTAGATTTTTTTTTTAATTACCTGCTATATAAAAAAATTAAAAAAAAAAAAAAAAATTATTAAAATATTTTTAAACAAGAAAAAAGCATTAAAATTTTATTTTATTTAAAGAAATTGTAAAAGGTTTCATACTAAATTGAAATTATTTTATGTTTAAATTAAAATTATTATGAAAATCTTTATTTTTTGTTTTTATTCTTAAAAATAAAGATAAAATTTAAATTGGAGACAAAGAGTAAATGAAAAAAAATTTTTTTTTTTTTATATTTCCTAACTATACAGAATGGTCTAAATCGAAAAGAACTATTATACCCCAATGATCACTGGGAAAAGATTGGGTTTGAGGAACTCTTTCTGAACCGATTAAAACAAAATGTTTAGGAAATGCTCTTTTGGGATTACTAAACCTGTAATAAATCCTATCAAATCTACATTTGGGCTTAAATTTACCAAAATTAGAAGAATTATTACTATTTTTGGTCATGTCCCATGTGTATTTAAATTGCTGAGGAGAACCACAAAATTCCCACAAGTCAAAAAAATTTTTAGGCGTTTTAACTTCTTTTTCTCTTAAATTTAAATCTCCTCCAAATATAATAGTACTGTTTTCTTCGAAAGACAAACACTTGCTAAAGGCAATGCTTAATTGTTGTTGCCTTTCCTCTGAATGTTCTTTAGTACTTTCCAAATGTGTATTAAGAAGTTTCAGTTTTAATTTACCCATGTGAGCTTCAGTTACTAATAAATTTCTGTCCATTTTAGTATTCGGGTAATCTACTATGTAGTGGTTATCATAAAAGATGGTAAAAATTCGAAGAAGGGTCATGGTAAAGTAATTGTCTTCACCACCCTTTAAACATTTGTACTCTGGAAGTTTGGTTATAAAATATTCTGCTGACTCTGGTATTACTTCTTGAAAGAAAACAATATCTGGTTCATGTTTTTGAATTAATTTAATGACTGCTCGAGTTCTTCTTTTAAGATTATGTACATCTAACCCATCTAAATTCCATGACAAAAATTTCATTCTCGGTGGTGGCTCTGTGGTAACTGTTTTTCCTTCTCCAAATAATCTTTCAACTATAATTTCAAATTATATAGTTAATATGTGAAAATACAATATGTTAATGAATGTATTATTATTTACCTATAGATGTATCATATAGAGAGTTTGATGCAACTGAATCATATTGACTGTTACTAGAATTTAATGTAAAAGGTTTGTTTTGAAATATTGGCTGATTATTCTGCTTAGACTCTTCATTGAGAGCTTCAAAAAAAGCTTCAACAGATTTTTTTAAGTTCCACTCATAATCTTGCAAAAATGTATGAGCTAAGGCTTCGTTTGTCTTAGTAATTTCAGCAAATTCTTTAGTAAGCTTTTCGTAGGTCGCTTTATCAAGAAAAAGATCTTTATCCTCCATACTTATGAATTATAAAAAAAACTTAAAAATTTAATGTAAAAATTTTCGTTGCATCATTAAAAATGAAGCAAATTATAAGTAATTTAATAAAAATTAAAATTAATTTTAAAAAAAATTTTATAAAAAATTTTTTCCCAGAATGAAAAAAAAAAAAAACAAAATAAATACAAAAAATATTAACGAAAAAATCAATTGAATGTACAAAAGTACGTTGAATTTTTTTACGAATTCAATCAAATATAGGTTGTTTGAATTTGAAGGAAACAAGACGAAAGATAATACGGCGCGGTGGCAATTGGATCATCGCCGCTAAGGTGCCGAATATTAATGGCTGCCATTTCTAAAAGCTTAAAATTATTTTAAATATGTAATAAATTACATTAAAGTAAATTTTCACTTAAAATATTTTTTTTTTTTTATATACTTAGTTTTTTTTTACTGTAGCGTATTAAGGAAATTTTTCTAAAATGATGTACACGGTAAGTAACAGTTTATTTTATTTAAGTTCTCTATTTCATTTTACAATTTCGTACCATGCTATATATAATTTAGGACGCTTTCTCATTGTTATTAGATGCAAGTAAATTTTTAACTAAATATTTTTGCACCAGATGCCGTAAAATATTTGGGCTATTTTTAAAAATTCCTGATCGTTAATTTAAAAAATGCATAAATTATTATATTAGTTAATTTTTTAGTACTTTTGGTTATATTTTTATGTAGATATTAAGAATAATTACACAGTATGTCCCTAAAAACTAATGCCGGTTTTTATTTAATTTTTTAAAATAGATTATAATAAGCATTAAATTTTAAACTATGGAGTAATTATGCACTTAATTAAAATACTAAAAAAAGGTTAACTTCATTCAAGCTTACTATAAATATTTGTACCATTTACATTTAATTTTTTTTCAAATGTGCAGGGTACCACTGCAGAACAAGACAACAGATTCAGTGACAAGGAGAAAAAATTATTAAAGCAAATGAAATTTGGGGACAGCTTGGTTGAAAAGGTAATAATGACCCATTTTTAAATTCAATTAATTAATGGTTCCCTGAAGTTTAATTAATTTTTTTTTTTTTTTACAAAATTTTTGTAGGTTGATATGTCTAAAGTAAAATTAGAAGTATTAAAGCCATGGATTGGCAAAAAAATAACTGAAATTTTAGGATGGGAAGATGATGTGGTTGTTGAGTTTGTTGTGAATCAGTTGGAAGAACATAAGGTAAACAACTTTTTTTATTTTTAAATTTATTTAAATATATATAATAAGTACCTCTTTGATTAATCATATAATTATTAAATATTATTTTAACTTTTAGCATCCAGATCCTAAAAAAATGCAAATTAACATGACAGGATTTTTAAATGGTAAAAATGCTAGATTGTTTATGCAAGATTTATGGGAGTTGCTTATATCTGCTCAACAAAGTGTCAGTGGAATACCCCAACAATTTCTAGACCAAAAAAAAGAAGATATTAAAAAGAGAATGGTACCTTAACAATACTTATTAACTTTATTTATACTTCTAAAGAAAAAGTTTTTTATTTTCATATTCATTAAATTTTACCTTTCAGGAAGAGCAAGAAAGAATTCAGAGTATTGTCGATAAAAATTTGGCTAACGAAAAAGAAAAGGAAAAGGAAAAAGAGAAGGAAAAAGAACGGGAAAGAAAACGAGAGAGAAGTAGAGAAAGAGAGAAAGAAAGAAGGGATAAATATAGAAGTGATAGAGATAAAATTGAAAGGGACAGAGGAAGAGATAGGGATAGAGATAGAGATAGAGACAGGGATAGGGATAAAGATAGAGATAGGGATAAAGACAGAGACAAAGATAAAGAAAAAGATAGAGATCGAGAGAGAGAACGAGACAGAGATAGAGATAAAGAAAGAGACAAAGACAAAGATAAAAGGGAAAAAGAGGTGAATAAAGTACTCTATATTAACTTATATTAAATGAATTATATTTTACTGTAAACATCATATAAGTTTAACATTAATAAAATTTTTCGTTTAAATGTTACAGAAAGGCAAAGAAAAAGAGTCTAACGAACGGGAAAAGGAAGATGATAGAAAAGAAAAGAAAAGGGAAGAATTTTCAAAGTCACCCAAGCACAATTCATGCCCTCGGCCAAATTCTAAGGATAGAAAATCTGAAGAACTTAAAACTAGAATTTCTGATAATGAAGCCAAAAATGATGTAAAAATTTCTGCCAGTTTGTAAGTAAGTTATATTATTAAAATTGATGTTATTATTTAAGTTAATTTTATTTAAATTTGAAATCATAGGTCTAAAGCTTTGTCCGGGGTTCAAGAAAAGCTTGCTTCGTTGTCTCAGAAAAAAGAAAACGATGGTTTTAAGCGATCTATTAGCCGATCTTGTTCAAGAGGTCGAAAATCTAATTCAGTAAATAAATCTAGGGAAAATAGCGTTGAAACTAATAATAAAGAAAATTCTGTAAGGCAAGAAGAAAAAGGAAGTAAAAGAAGTGTCAGTAGCGCTTCCAGTGAACGGTACATATTTTAATTAGTTAATCTTTAAAAAAAAAAAACGTTTTTTAAAATAAATGTCAACAAAATAATTTTTTACCTTTTATTTAGTTCTCCGAAAAAAGACGACTTCGAAATAAGAAAAAAAGAGGATAGCGTTCAAAAAAAAAGGCATTACAGAAGTAATAGGTCTCATTCAAGTGAAAATGAGAGGTCATCACGTCAGGTAACTTATTTTTTAAATTTAAAAAAAAAAAGCATTTTGCCGTTCTTAATAATTACCGTCTAAATGCAGGATAGAAGAGGAAAATCTCACTCCAGGTCCCCCGGTAGACGTCGTGACGACAGAGACAGAGAAAGAGAAAAACGGAGAGATCGGGATGATCGAGATAGGGAAAGAGAACGTGAACGTGATAGAGATAGAGATAGAGACAGAGAAAGAGAAAGGGAGCGGGAACGTGATCTTAGGTATAAAATTGAAAGAGAAAGAAGGGAGAAAGAACGTATAGAAAGGAGAGAAAGAGAAAAAGAACGTGAAAGAGATAGGGATAGGGAAAGAGAAAGACGAAGGTAAGAAAATTATTTTAAAAGAAACCTTTAAAAAAAAAAGTTAAAGTTTAAAAAATTTTTTAATTTTTTTAATTTAGAAGGTCTCCTTCTCCTAGGAGACGTAGGTCACGTTCTAGTCAACGATCTTCTTCCCCCAAGTCTAGATCTCGTCGATCCAGGTCTCCGAGGGAAAAAACTAGGCATTCTAGGTACGTTACTTATTTTATAAATACATGTATAAATTTTTTCGCAGTAGTTTTTATTTATTTTTATTCTTCTTTTTACAGATCTCGATCTCGAAAGCGGTCTAGTTCGCCGAAAAGAAGATTAGATTCATCTAGACGGCATTCGCCATCCCCTAAACGTCGGTCACGCTCACCAAAGCGCAGATCCCCTACCCCCAAACGTCGCTCTTCTCCTAAAAGACTTTCACCCAGTCCCGAAAAAAGATATAGGCGATCTCGGACACCCAAAAGAAAAGCAGATTCTCCCGTCATGAGGAAAAAGCGTGAATCCCCGAAACGTAGAAATTCTCCGTCGAAACTCAGATCAGAATCCAAAAAGTTGTCTCCTTCTCCAAAACGTAGATCTAAAAGTCCTAAAAGACGTTCCATTTCTGGAAAAACAACTTCCGTGTCTCCCAAGACGAGGTAATATTAGGATCATTTTAGTGTTGCTAAAATGTTGCTCTCTATTAACTAACGAAAAGTGTGAATAAATTTTTTTGTAGGTCTATAACTCCGAGAAAGAGGCAAATTTCTCCGAAACGAGAAGTCATCAGACATTCAGATTCCTCAATAGGTACCAGAAAATCTGATAAACATAGAAAAGACTTTTTAGAGAGAAAGCCCAGCTCAGAGTCAAGGTAAAAATTATCATTATTTTATTTTTAAAAGTTTTCAAGATTAATTACTAAATTCATATTTTATTAGCTCTTCTTCTGAAAAAGAAGAAACAAGTTCAGGTGAACCGGAGGATGATGAAGAAGAAGAAGAAGATAGATCTCCACCTTCGAAAAAAGAGAAAAGAATATCTAAGCATGATGTGATTGTGGAAAAAAGAACGGCATCAAGAAAGACTGTCAGCAAACATGAAAGAGATTCCGTGTCGAACGAAGAAAGTGACAAATATATTAAAAAATCAAGAGAAGAAAGTAAGTTTAAATAAAAATAAAATGTAATTTGAGATGTGACTATTTAAAGTCAAATTGAGTAAAACAAAAAAATTTTTTTTTTTTTTTTTTTTTTTGATAAATTTAAATTAGAAAATTCAACTTCAAATAAATCTAAACGTGGAGAAACGCATAAGAGCAGAAAGAGAGAAGAAAATTCTTCATCGGAGGATGATGACGACGATGATGAAGAAGTGGTGGAGGAAGAAGAAGAGGAAGATGATGAGGAGGAGGAGGAAGAAGAAGAAGATGAAGACGAAGAAGACGAGGAAGAAATAATTGAAAAAACTGTAGTGAAATCTGAAAATAAATCGAAAAAATCAAATGTTGACTCAATAGAATATTCTAAAAAAAAATACAAATCAAATTCACCGGATAAAGACAGTTCGGAATCGTACGACACTAAAAAAAAATCTAAAAGAAAAAGGACGAGATGCACGAGCGAAGATTCTAGCTATGAAGAAATGAGTAGAAAAAAGAAGAGAATAAAAAAGGTAATGAAAACATTAAAGTTAAAACATTTTAACAAAAAAAAAAAAAAAAAAAATTCTCATAAACGGGAAATTTTTTTTTTTAAGCAGAAGAAAAGAGAGGAGTCGGATGAATCCGAGGGATCTTCAGAGTACGAAGAAGAAGAAATAGAAAGTAGAAGACACAAGAAAAAGAAAAATTCTAAGAAAAGGCCAACTAGTTCGGATTCGGACGAACACAGTACGTATATTTCAAAATGCTAAATTAAAGTCATATTAAAAAAAAAAGAGAGAGAGAGAGAAAGAATTTAATAATTTAATTTTTTTGCGGTAGGTAAAAAGAAGAAAAAGCGAAAAAAGAGTAAAGGACAACCAGAAAAATCAGATCATAAACATAAGAAACATAAAAAGCAGAAAAAACATAGGAAAAAAAGAGCTAGCGAGGTATTTTTGTATTAAAAATAATTAAAAATTTATTATAACATGATTCATAATATTAAATTTTTTAAAAATGTTTTTCTTCGAATAGGAATCTTCTGATGAAAGTGGTAACGAAGAGTTAGAACGCAGACTCAGAGAAAGGGCATTAAAAAGTATGAAAAAAAGTAATGAAGACCACAATTACAGTGATTGATTGATTGATATAAATAAATAACATTTAATTTATAATAATATTTATAATAATAATAATAATGATGATGATGATGATTATAATAATTAAAAATAATAATACTAAAATGTGTTATTTAAATGAAATGAACTTAGTAAAGAATTGTTTACATGTAGTTATAGTGGTTTGTTCAATAAAATGTGATGTAATACTTCTTATTTTTTGACCATGTATTTACATTTTAAAAAAAAAAAATTTAAAAAACTTACTGTCTGAATATCGAAGAAAGACCTTAAGCTTTTTTTTTTTTTTCTTCTTGATGAATGTATGATTTTTAGACTTTTATCAATTATTATTATTATTATTCATGCATAATCTATTTTGAAAAAAAGTGTCTTGAAAGAATCTGAGATAATCATTGATATTTATTATTATTGAGTGAAGTTAAACCGCACATTTTTTTTTTTTAATTGTAAACCAATATAATATTATTAACAGTTTTTAATAACTGTGTTTAAAAAGCAATGTATAATATAGAATAAGCCATTTTGTCTTATTTATTATTTTTATTTTCCTTTTTTTTTTTTTCACTTCTAAAATTATATTGTTTAACTTATGCGTTTCTTACATTGCATGAAAAAACTTTTGATTAATGAGTTTTTTTTTTTTTTTTTTTTTTGGCGCACCTTTTACAAATAACCCGTTAGCGTTGAATTTTTATAAAATGGCGTCATACTAAATTTGAAAAAAAAATTTTATACACAAATTTGTAATTATGAATTTTCTTTTATTGGTAGTTTTAATGAAAATAACGACTTATAATTCTTTCATTAAGTAATAAGATGTTTCAGAAAATATTTTATTATTTCACCAAAAATGATTAAAATATTGAAAATTTGAACTTCTGATTAAAATATAAATATATATATATACATGTTTTAATTTATGCGGGTAACCTTTTCAGATATAATTTATCTTTACAAAATAAATTAATTATTTTCAATAATCAAAAAAAATTGACTTGAATGTGTGTGAACACGGGTGAACTTAGATTGTGGTGATTTTTTTTTACAAAGTTTACGATTGTTTATTATTTTATTTAATAATTGTTTGATGAAAATTATTTAAATTAATTAGCTTACTTGCAGACGTTACGAAATGCAATGACTTTTTTATTTAAAAGCAACAAGGCGATAAATTATCGCTAGTTGAACTGGTTGTATGGCTGAATGCGGTTGCCAAACAAAAGATTGTCTTGTAAGGTGTTGAGGTTTTTTACTTATTGATTTTTATTATTTTCTTACATCGTTATATATCTCGAGTAGTTTTTTTTTTTTTTTTTATATAAAAATGGTTATTAAATTATACATTTCTGGAATCTCTGGTAATAAAGAGGTAAGGGGATATTCTACACAAAAAGTATTTTTTTTTTTTTTTTTTTTAAAATCTATGTATGTTAAAAGAGGGAGTGTCCATTTTTAAACTGTAACCTTATGCCTCAGCTCAATTTCTCATTTTGACCTACGATGATTAATTAAACTTCCCATTTTTTTTTTTTTTTTCACCTATGATTTATTTTTAGCATTTTATATATATATATACATAAATAAAAACAGATAAAATTTATTTACTTTGTTTATATTTATAAAAGACAAAAAAAAAAAAAAATTTTTTTTAGATATACGTCTTTCCATTTAAATTAATTTAATTAACCTAACATTTTATTTGCAATTCACTTAATTCAATCTTTATATTTTTTAAATTTTATATTAATTTGTTTGTCTTTTAAAGTTACGATTTGGCTAAATAAAATATTTTTACATTACATTTTACACTGCTTTCATTAATATTATTGTTATTTTGATAAATCATCTTCATTTTAATTTTTTTGTTTAAAGTATACATTTTTATTAGTAATTAGATATTTGACTTGTAATACTTATTATTTAATTCTGCATTCTTTTGGATTTTACACAATTGTTATTATTATTTAGGTTAAAAAAAAACAACAAAGAGTTCAAATGATTCTCGATAGTAAGCAAATAACATATGAAGCAATTGATATAACAGAACCAGGAAAAGAAAAAGATAAAGAATTTATGCAACAAAATGGAAAAGTAAGGGAAAGCCTTGGAAAATATCCTTTACCCCCTCAAATATTTAATGATGATGATTTTTGTGGAGTAAGTTATTGAACATATATTACAAAAAAAATTTTTTCTAACCTTCATTTTCAAAATGATATTCAAAACAAAACAATCATCTGATTGATTGTTTTATTCGAATTTCATAACATGCTGTATTATGACATTGTTAATTCTTTTATTGTATATTTGAAATTTATTATTGTTTTATCAATTTTGTTTAAAAATTTTTTTTTTGTAATTATCATTGTGTACAAATTTTTTTTAGGACTATGAAGACTTTGATTTGGCAAATGAAATAGATGAATTAGAAAAATTTCTACATTTAAGTACAACTAATTCAAAAATTTTAGACAATGAATTAAAGGTAAGTTGATCAAAAAAAACATAAATATTATTTATCGAGAATTTTTATAAGAAATTTTAGATTTTTTGTGATTAAAAAAAAAAAACTTGAATAAAATTTTCTGTATTATTTTATGTTTTCAAAGATATTCTATTCAATTTATTAGGATTTATTTTAAAATTTTATTCTTTTAATTATTAGATCTTGCAATTTTAGTAGGTACTTTGTCAATGAAAGTTTTATTAAAAACTATTTATGCTTGCATAATTAACTGTTATTCAGCATTTTACTCTGCCTAAATAATATTTATAATTTTTAGTTTATAATAATAGTTATTCATAATTGTTTTCATTAAAGATTGCATTATTTTTTTAAATAATTTTTTATGCTTATTCAATAATATCGAAGGTAGAGCTTAATGACTCGAAAACTTATAAGTAAATAATATTGCAAACTGTTAAGATAAATAATTGTCGGAAGCTTAGTAGACAAAATAAATAAAAAAATACTTTTTAATAATTATTAATTTTTTACAATTTTATTGTTTTTTATGCTAAAAAAAAAAAAATAGTTTAGGTTTTTTTAAAAGTTAAGTTCAAGACTAGTAAAAGATGAGCTTTAATTTAGGTAAATGGAGTTCAAGAACAAATAATTGATTCGACTACATCTGATGATACTGAACAAGCAGAAGAAGTTGAGAAAAAAAATGAGGTGAGATGACAAATTGGCAGTTTAGGAATATTTCTCAATTACTGAAAATTTTCATTGAATGGTTTCTTCTTATGCTGTACTTTGATTTGCAATGGCTTTCAGGTTAATGGTGACATTGAAGATGTTACTTCTACTGTTAAAAATGACATTGACTCTAGTTCAAACAATTTCCCCGAAGAAAATTCTATCCCCGTTAAAGAGGTAGTAAAAATTTTGATAAAAGTTATTTAATACTTGGTCAGGTTTAAATGTGGTTTTTTTTTTTTTTTTTTTTTTTATCATTGAAGTTTTGTTAATTTCAATGATTTTACTTTATTAAAGAAAACATGGTTAAAATTAGCATATATATATATTAAAAGTGAATTTCAATTTAAGAAAAAAAAAATTTAAAACAACATAAATAACAAAACTATCATTTAAAAAATAATTAAATATTTTTTTATTTATTTATTTATTTTTATTCGACTGTATTTAGGTTTTTTTTATTTAATTTTTATAAATTTTAAATTATTTGATTCACTTATTAAAAATTTTAATAAATAACCTGTTTTAATACTATGAGTTTGTTGACCTAATGCAGTATATGCATGGTTGAGAAATAATTTACAATTTTTATTTAAATAATACTTCATTTAAACAGGGATGACATAAATTTTAATGAACTACATAAAGATTGTGATTATAGGATGATGTGGAAGAAAATGTAGAATTAGACAAAAATGAATTGTGTGAGGAAAAAACAGAAATTACAGATGAGGAGGAAAAACCTCAAAATGAGGAGGTACAGAGACTTGTTTGATAAATGTTTTGTTTTGTCTCTCATTTTTATAAATTCAAGTCGAAAAAACTTTTTTTTTTTTTTTCTAATATTAATTTATTATTATTTCGTGTGTGCAGTAAGATTGAATTCCAATTATCCTTCATCGACATTTTGTTTTCATAATCCATTAGCAATATTGATTGATTATAGCTAATTGTTTTAAATTACTTTACTAACAATCTGTTAGGTCACAACAGTTTTAGTTTTTATTTATACGATTTCAAATTTTATAAATAAATAATAATTTGTTCGATTTAATAAAATAATATATATATATGACTCAAATTTTGTAGGAAAAAAATGATGAAAAATTACAAAGTGATAAAGAAAGCGATAAAGAGAGTGAAAAAGAAATAAATGATGGTGTTAAGGATGGTGATGATAATAATGAAAATGATAATGATAATAA